TCTTTGGTGGTTGCCATGAGGTAAATGGTGACAGTGGTGTTTGGAAGGCACGGGAAGGTCAACAGAAGCTATATACCTAAGGGGAGTGTGGGAAGCAGGGGTGGAGCTTTCCGTTAGTGGCAGAGAACAACCCCAACCTCAAAGATAGCAAGGGGTAAACCTGTATAAGTACTGAAAGTAGACAAGATTTTTTTTTTAAGATTTTATTTATTAATTTAAGACATACAGATAGAGAGCGTGAGCAGGGGAAGAGGCAGAGGGAGAGGGAGAAGCCGACTCCCCGCTGAACCAGTAGCCTGATGTGGGGCTCGATCCCAGGACTCTGGGATCATGACCTGAGCCGAAGGCAGACGCTTAGCCATCTGAGCCACCCAGGCGCCCCTGAAAGTAGACAAGATTAATGGATCAAATCAAGGTCATTTATTATTCAGAGCACACAAACAGTGATGTGGTGCCGTAGGCCTAGATGGTGGCTGTGTTTGTGGTGGGCTGCCTTGTAGCTGAGGGACCCAGAGCCAGGGACTCAGCACCTTTTGTAGCAAGCGGCCAATAAGCCAGTCTTCATGCTGTGGTCAACTCGACCTCCTTAGCTGCCTGACTGACCAGCTACAGAAACTGGTTTTAACTACTGGTTTTACCCCGACGTTCTTTCCTGGTCTTGGTACATCTTGCAAGTGGTCTTTGTGACGCCTTTCACTAAATGATTAATAGAGACTTGAAACTGGCCAGTTACCTGGCTAAGAAGAGTTTATTGAGATTTTTAAAAAAATTAATTGAACAGGATGTATGTCATTGTTGGACCTTATTTTGGTGGGGGAGGGGAAAGCGTTATTTCAAATTTATTTTTATTTTTTATTTTTTTAAAGATTTTTATTTATTTATTTGACAGAGAGAGAGAGGGAACACAAGCAAGGGGAGTGGGAGAGGGAGAAGCAGGCTCCCCGCGGAGCAGGGAGCCCGATGCGGGACTCGATCCCAGGACCCTGGGATCATGACCTGAGCCGAAGGCAGACGCTCAATGACTGAGAGACCCAGGCGCCCCCCAAATTTATTTTTAATTCAACGAATTCAGAGTCCTTAATTAAAATATTGAAGCTTCACCACCTTTAGGACAAAATTACTCATTTTAGAAATGACAGAGACTCCTACTGTAGAAAGCCTTGGAGCCCTTGCTTAACAGAGAATGTTCTGGATGTGGAGGTGAGAAGCGTTATTTTTTTGTGTGTCTTTCTTAACACTATAAACTTCTTCTGCTAATTCAAGTACTCCTTGTACACATGACAGTGCAAATTTAAGTGGCCTCTTCTAGCAAGGTTTCCGCTATATGCAGGAACTTAAAATAGATGTGTGAATTTCATAGATATCTCTGTATGTGAAAAGTAAAGTTTTAAAATTGTGATATGTTTGGGCATGTTTGAATCTGCTGTGTGCAGGCAGGCTGTCCCTTCTTAATGCAGTTAAACAGGTTTTTTGAACAGGCCCTTTCAACTTTTGGATCAGCCTGTCACTTTATTTTTTTTTTTTAAACATTTTATTTATTTATTCATAAGAGACAGAAGAGAGAGGCAGAGGGAGAAGCAGGTTCCCCGCTGAGCAGGGAGCCTGATGTGGGACTCGATCCCAGGACCCTGGGATCATGACCTGAGCTGAAGGCAGACACTTAACCATCTGAGCCACCCAGGCGCCCAGCCTGTCACTTTTTATTCCTCTGCTCCGATAAGTCATGTTGGTGACACTGGCTGGCTATCAAGTGTATTTCCTCAGTGGCTGCTTTTCCTTCTCTTTTCTCTTTTTAGCCGTGGCTGTCCACCAAGATTCAGCCTTCTTCTGGAGAGTGGTGCCTTCTAACCCTCTCTTACGTCCTGCTTTTTCTTCTGACAGCTTTGGCATCTGAACTTAAATGTTATGCCATTTTTTAAAATCCAGATTTTGAGCTAATTTTATACTTGTAGAAAAGTTGCAGAAATAGGACTGGGAGTTCCTCTGTTTTCTTCCTTCACCTCGCTTCCCCCAATGTTAAGATGTTATATAACCAACCATTTGTGACGGTGCTTTGGTCAAAACTAAGAAATTACCATTGGTACAGTATCATTAACTGAACCACAGGCCTTATTTAAATTTTGCCAGTGTCTTCATGAAATGTTTCTTTTCTGTTCTAGGACCCAATATGGGATCCCACATCACATTTAGTTCTTTTTTCTCCTTAGTCTCTTCCAACTGATGACAACTCCTTAGTCTTCCCATGTCTTGTGTGAACTTGACCCTTTTCAGGAACACTGGTCATTGTTCATCTTGTTGCTCAAAGAGCTCCAGCTCTCGCCTTTAGGAGTGTCTTGGGTCGGCTCCTGTGTCCTTTGAACATGCTCTGTCCTTTATTGTGACACAAGCTGTTTCCATCTCCTTCTGTGCTTCCCTTGCCCCAGCTCTGGAATCAGCCTCTTCTCCAGGGAGCCCTGGTTTCTTTTATGGAAGAAAGGCAATTAGAAACCAAGACTGGGGTGCTGCGTATGCTCTTTGGTATCGGGTGTCATGACTTGTAGGCCCTTTCAGCGGGCAGAGCAAGGACATGTATATATTTACACCCGCGCGTATGCCTACGTCTGTAGTTCTCTGTTGTGTGTGTGTGAGAAAAGCCCTAAGTTTATACTAATTCCCTCTGATTCCAATCTAACACCAGAGTGTAGCTTTCTTTATTAATGTGTAACTTTCTCCACCCACCCCGAGAAGCCTGGCTCTCATTGTCCTTAGTTCTACGGTACTCAGTCTAAGATACTGTTCCAGTTACTCGTTCTTTCTCCCTACCCCTCCACCCTTCCACCGTGGTGTGATAGTTAAGTTTATTTGTTAGTGCTTGTGTTCCACATTGGGCACCCCCACATCTTGGTTGGTTTAATGATTTTTGTTTGTGGGTATGTGAAGGGTGTGAAACATCGCTTGGGCTCTGAGAGTCCCGATAGGAAAAGGTGTCCCCGGAGGAGGAGCGTCAGGCTGCCTCACCCCTGTTTCCCGACCCCTTTCCCATCCTTGCCCATCCTTGCCCCCCGCCCCCCATACCTAACCAGTCTCTGTCGTTACTGACTTACCCTTCCTGTTTCTTTGGTTTTGTGCCATTTTAAACTCGTCAGATTTGTATGAAAGGTGGTCTCAGGGATTGCCACGCCCGCTTTCTCCCTCTTGGCCACTCGTCCAAGAGCAAGGCGACACCCCTGCTGCAGAGTGGGACTGGGGTGGGTGAAGCTGGAAACTTGGTGTGTTTTAGTACTTTCATATTTTTACATTTTGGCTACTTAGATAGAACTTGGTTATATTTAAAGTTAACTGGTATTTTATTTAACATCCAATAAAGCAGAAGGGGGCTAGGAAAGAGGGTACCTTTTCCTACACCATCTTATCCACTCGCCTTTTTTTTTTTTTAAGATTTTATTTATTTATTTGAGAGAGAGAGAGAGAGAGATCACAAGTAGGCAGACAGGCAGGCAGAGGGAGAGGGAGAAGCAGGCTCCCCGCTGGGCACAGAGCCCGATGTGGAGCTCGATCCCAGGACCCTGGGATCATGACCTGAGCCGAAGGCAGATGCTCAACCATCTGAGCCACCCCGGCGTCCCTCCACTTGCCTTTAATACTAGATATTTTAGTCAATTTTTAGCCGCACAAATACTACATCTACTCCTTGAGGGAAAGAAGAGAAAGCTTACACATAAGGATAAGGTCCCCTCTGATCTCTATCCCCCACATAAAACTATTTTTATTATCCTTTCAGAGTCTTTATACTTTTTTTAAACATACGTTCCTGTAGGGAAAAAATAATGTATGTTGTTTTATAAGGTGTGAGGTTTTGTGTGTGTTTTTTTTAACCGATAAAAAGGTATACTTTACCTTTCTTCAGCTTGCTTTTTCACTCACGTGTCAAGAAAAATGTTCGTGCCGTACAGATAGCCCCCCTCCATTGTTCTGAACATCTGCCAGAGTACTTCTGGTGACGGTCCGTGTGTGTGGCTCAGAGCGCCCGGGTGCGGATCAGCAGCGGGGCTCGGGGCTGCAGCCTCTGCCCGCATCTCATGGCGAGCAGCACACCCCGTGCTCTCCCGAGTGGCCGCCACGTTCCGTGTCCCGCCAGCATCATATCAGAGTGACCTTTCTCTACTGGCCACCAACACTTGGTATTTCCTGCGTCTCAAATTTGGGGCAGTTTGAGGGTAGAGAGGGGTACTTTGTTTTAATTCGCTTTCCTCCCTCTAAGTAGGGAGGTTGAGTGTATTTTCATGTAATTATTAGCCTTTTGCATTTTTTTCTGTGGTTTGCCCATTTTTAACTGCTTTCTTTCTCTTATTTATTTGTGTGAGTTCTTTGTACATTTTAGATTCATTCATTTAACCAGTGTTTATTGATCTCTTAGATGCCTAGGCACTGCTGTAGGTGCCGGGGTAATAGCAATAAACAAGGTTGCTAATTTCACAGGAGTTAAGAGGAAGTTGGACCAAAGAAAATCAAAATAAATCAACCAGATTATGTAGATATTAATAAATGCTATAAAAAAAATAGAGTAATGGTAGAGAGAGTGCTCGAGTGGAGAGGAAGCCCCAGTTTGCCCTTAGAGACTTCATCCTCGGAGTATTTGCACTGAGGTGGGATGGTCAGGGAAGGCTTCTTGGAGAAGGTGGGGTTGGAGCTGAGGTCTGAATGGCATGGAGCCAGCCATGGGAGTGTCCAGAGAGAACAGCATGTGCCTGGGCTCTACGGTGGGGTAAATGAGAGACGGGCACGGGGTCACGGGAGAGGAGGTCACATCATCGCAGGTGACCGTGAGGGATGGTCATCAGGAGGAGGCGTGAGGTCTGTTTCAGGAGGAGGTTTCTCCAGCCCCTCCTTTCTTGTCTAGGCTTAGGTGACTGGAAAGAGCTTTGCTCTGGGGATTTGTGCATCAAGACTTGATCATTGGGTTTTGTGGTGGTTTTAAGGCATAGGCTTTTTCTTTAATAAAGGAAAATTTTCTGTTTCAGATTACCTAGGAACAGTACGATTTGGGGTTATCACAAATAAACATCTTGCGAAACTGGTATCCTTAGTACACTCTGGAAGTGTGTATTTACATAGACATTTCAACACATCACTTGTAAGTATTTTGAAATCACATTTATATTAGCGCCGTGGTTCTTAACCTTGTTTAGGTCACAGACTTCTTTGAGAATTGGATAAAATCTGTGGGTGCTCTCCCTAGGAAAGTGTACATGATTTTATATGCAAATTGAGAGTTCTGCAACCCCATGCTAGAGCCCGTACCCCTGTTTATGAACCCCTGCATTAAAGGGCTCTCAAATGTAACATCTAGAAATTCTTTGTTTATATTCTTTGACTCTGGTACAGCCTCGTTAGTTTTCCTCCTTGGATGAAATTGCAGGATTGTTCCGTTGGAGAATTGTTACTCTGGGCCCGTGTTCTCAGAGGTTAAGCTTCCATTGGGCGATGTTCTCTGTTTATTTGTTCCATTCATCAGGAGTACTCATGTGACATGCTCTTCTCCTTAGGTGGTGAAACAGATTTTGAAGTTCTTGTTAAGTCACAGTGAGAAGTTGATAGCTTCTCACCCCAGTGAGCCTTGGTTTTCCATTGTCGTCTTTGTTCCCTGTCTTCATTTGCTTTTGGTGAACCAACCCCAACTCAGCTATTTCTGAGCTTTTGACCTGTATCCTGCTTAGTCCTGTACCTCTGCTCTATTTGTTGCTGCTTCTTCAGTCCCATCACTGAGAGTTTATTTTTCTTAAGTATTTTCTGTCTCTAACTTCACTGACAGTGTGTGTGACTTACAGGTTGAGTGAAGACCAGTATCTGTGTAACCTGTGTACCCAGCCTGTTGAACCTGGGCTCCCCTCAACTCAGCGTGCAAGTCGCATGCCTGTGGGGGGACTGTTAGGCCCTCTCCGGGGTGCTCCCTTGGTTGCCAGTCGCCCTGGCTTCTGCAGCTCCCTAGCAGCCCAGATGCTATGCTGTATTTCTTGTAGTTTGGACTCCAAAAGTCAAATGTGTTTTTGTGTTTCGCAAATAGAAATGTGTACATGATGTTTGAGTATATTTTTTCAAACTCCCGCCATCCCACTTCAAGAGTCACTGCTTTGCTGGTTTCTCTGCTGCCTTCCCGCTCTCCTCGTGCCTCTGAGCTGCTTCTTACTTCCTCTGCTTTCGCTGTCTGTCCCATCTTCCTTCATCCTCCTTTTGTAGCATGCTGTACAACCACCATGTATCGTATGGATTTAGAGGGGAGGGCACTGAGGAAGGAACATGAAACAGAGAAGCTAGGGCTGTGGGAATGGCCCTGGCAAATGCACTGGGCTTACTGCATCAGGTCTGTAGTTCTTAAGGTCATTTGGTTGGTTTAGCAGAATTCCTTTTATCAAATGAACTACTACTGGGATACCAGTATTTTAACATAAAACCAGTGGACATCTTTGTCACGAGGCAATTTAATTCTCTGTTTTGGAGAGTATAAAAGATCTCATTTTGTGGAACCCTCCAAAGCACTTTTTTGGGGAGTTTCATTTGAAACCCAGTGATGCATATTTTTGGAATTTCAAACATAATTTTATGTTGACCTACTTTGGTTGTTACAGAGAAACAAAGCACAAAACCTAAGTGTCTCTTTCCTTCATTCTGTACACATAAGTGTGATCTGTGGTCTTGTACAAGTTGTGGGTCATTCGTGGATTCTTTCAAGTATTTGTTGAGTTCCTGCTGTGTGCCAAGTGTTCTTGTAGTCACTGGGAGTACAGGGGGCCAGAACAGATACAAAGGTCTGCCCTAACGGGGTGGCGGAATGGGGGGGGGGTGCTCCTCCCGCCATTATGAGCCAAGTTTTGAGGAACCAGTGTAAAAATCTAAATGATCCTTGGCTTTATAACCTCCTTTCCTGTAGGTGTTCATTGATCCTTTTACAATAATCCTTGTATAAGAACCCAGTAAAATGTAATAGTTCCCTTTGGCCAGGGTGGAAGAGGTCATTGTTGCCAGCAGCAGATTGGGAGAGTTCTTCAGTGGTAGAGGAGTCAGCTGAAGGGGACGGGAGGCATCTGTGACCTGGAAGTCACCTCTCTGCAGCCGCTTCCGCTCTTTCCAACCACTTGTGAGGAAACGCTGTGTCTGGAGGAGCAGGGGCAGGTCACGTCCCTGAGTCGTCTTGTCTGCAGCTGGGCAGTGGTGGGGTGGTCGGGGCCTCCTGAGCCTGCCCTGCCTTCAGCCTTCCCTGTGTTGTCCTTCGCAGGTCTTCCGCAGGGAGGCTGTCAACTACACGGCAGAGAACATCCATAAGTGGGCCTTAGAGAATCGAGAGGCGCTGCTGCGATGGCTGCGGCCGCACGGCGGCAAGAGCCTCCTGCTGAACAATGAGCTCAAGAAGGGGCCGGCGCTTCTTGTATTTCTCCCTTTTAATCCTTTAGCCGAAAGCCACCCTTTAATAGATGAGGTAAGAGTCATAATGTTAAAAGGTATCTCCTAGGGACCAGGAAAGCCTCGTGAACTTGGACGTCTCGCTCCCGGTTCACGGTGATTTCCGCCGGGAGCCGAGAGCCCGCCAGCAGCGGCCGCTGCATTTCTGCACCGTTACTCCTTCGTCCCGTAAGTGGGCAGGAGAGTGGGTGCCGGGGGTAGGACCCACCGCGGCCTCTCTGGCCACGTTGACGGACAGCTGCTCGAGTCTGGGGGAATCGGCGAGAACAGGCCTGTCCGAGCTGCGCCTCCCCAGGGTGGGACCAGATGTCCCCCGTCCCGCCATGGCCCACTGCGGGAGTGGCGTAGAGGGGCTGGACTGTGGCACGGGCAGGGTGCGGGGTGGCCTCGGGGGTGGCCATTGTGGGGGGGTTGGGTCTGACCACCAGCCCTGGCCGACCTCAACCCGGCAGCCGGGAGCGGCAATGGTGATGCTGGGCTCCCCTGTTTCTCTAAGCCTTTCTTGTGAAGATAAGCAGAGCGGTTTCCAGAGGCGGACGCTGTCAGGAGTCTGCCCCTCCCTCTGCTTTTCCTGTTTCGGCTGGTGCACTCACGCTCTCTGGGTGGGAGTTGATTTTATACATGGATCATTTGGAGGCACTTAGAGAGAGTAATAACAATTACAGAGAGCGCCTGGGATTGCTAAATTGGATTTACTGGGGGGTTTATTTTTTCCTTCCCTCAAGGATCCCTTAATTGGCCAAAACCAATTTCAGACCGCCAGTGTACCACTGGCCAGGCTAACCAGACACTGCCTCTCCCCGAGCCCCTCCACGTGAGCCTGATGGTCTGCCTGGAGGCGGCAGGGAGACGGGCCTCTTGCCCAGCCAGACCCCTGACTTTGCTATTCTGGAGCCTTATTGTGAGAGTTGTTACCCCCGCTGCTACTCTGGCTTCAAGGAAGAAACGAGAGAAATGAAATAGCTTTGTTTCTTCTCCTCTGATTAGGGAGGACTTGAAGTAATAAGACTTATTTTCTTGAGAAAATCTTCACTACACGGATAGTTTATGAACTGACACTCTCCCAAATTACTAGGCCTTTACTACATCTACTATTAAGAGCCATAAGGCTCTTTGTAGGAAAGGTGGGGTTTTTAACCACGGCATTAGCTATGGTTTGGGATTTTTACTTTGACTTCTAAAATTTCTTTGTGGAGAATTCTATCTTGTCTGATTTGGGCAAGTAAGTGTCCTGGGTGGGGTAGTGTTTTGTAACTGGAGCCGGTCCTCTGTTCAGGGGGTCGTGGTTGGATTTAGGCCCCTGGTGGGAGGACGCTAGCTTTCCTGCCTTTTTCCCTGGCTCAGCGTTTCCCTTCTCTCCCCTGACTCCTCCATCTATGGCCAGGCCTTCTTTTTTTTTTTTTTTTTTTAAATCTCTTTGTTCCTGTGGCTCTTTCCTCAGAGCTCAGGGTGTCCCTGCAAGGTGAGTGGATTCCCCAACCTCAGTGTATGGTTGAGATTGTTGATAACCAAATGGCATCTCAGCGGTATTATGGCTTCCTTATTAGCCAAGTAAAGTGTTCTGTGCAGTACGTTTCCCTCTTCATTTTAGGTCAGTTTAGCAAATGTTTATGGAGCACTGTGTCAGGGAGCCGTGGGGGAGAAAGATGGAGAAGACGCAGCCTTACCCTCGTGGTCTCAGAGGCTTGTCCAGTAGGGGCAGGAGGAGCTTGCTTTTAATTAATTCAGGGCGGAGGAAGGTCAGCCCCAGGCCCGGCTCAGGAGGAACTGGAGGAGAGAGGGCTCTGTGCCAGGAAGCTGAGGCTGTGGGTGGGGCAGGGATGGGGGACAGACTTTTAGGGTGGCCGGGATGTGGATGCGCTGAAGGAAGCGTAAGGGAAGGCGCAGCCTGAGCAGAGGCACGGTGGTGGGGAGGTTGCTGCGGGTTCAGTGTTAGCAAGTAGTGCGGGTTGTGTGGCCCCCAGAGGGGCTGCCTGGAGAAGTCCCAGGTGGAAAGCCTGAAGAGGAGAGGCCGTTGGGTGCGACTTCGAGGACTCCAGGGTTCAGCGTGGCCAGCACAGTGTCACTGACAAAGGAGAGATGTCCGCAGAGTGGTGTTCCCATGATTCGCATTTTCCAGGCAGCAGTGTTCCAGGAGTGTGGGAAGTAGTAAAGTCCGGAGCTTGGGTGCTGGTGGGGACGGGAAGTGGGGTATGTGAGCAGGGGTGAGGAAGCCGTCGGGGTTGGGTCGGGGGAGCAGCATACTTGGACATTCCCAGGCTGAGTTCTAAGCTCATCAGCTCCTCAAGCGCAGGAGAGTTTAAGCCTTAAGCCTTTTACCCATGCCCACCTCGAGGCCCAGTTGGGCAGGCGGTTGAGGACGCTTACGTTGTGGAGAGAGGTCAGTGTCCCGTGAGAGTAGTAGCGTCGGGGCTTGCTGGGCAGCGGGTTTTGAGGCAGCCATAGTGGGGAGTGTGGTGGGTGGCACACAAGAGGACGGCCATATGCTGGCTCCCTTGTGAGCCCCGGTCCGGGGCCAGCAGCTGCCGACACACGCGCATCCCCCCCAGCACCCTCACGGGAGAGCACAGCATCAGGCTGCTGGCCCCCTGAGTCTCTGCAGAGGGTCCTGGAGAGGTCATAGGACGTCCCAGCTGCTCAGAAGACATGCTCCCTGCAGCCAGCAAAGAGTCCGTGTGCCTCGTTTCCGCTTTCACAGCGCCGCTCTGACACGTTCAGTGTGTGAGCCTCACGAGCAAGGTCATGGTTATCTTGTTCTGGCTTAAACATTTGTCTGATTAAAGAAAATGGAAGAAAGCATTTACAGCACAAATAGTTGAAGTTATTTGCCAGATTTTCCTCATTAGTTCATGTGAAATTAAGTATGACCTCAAGCATTTCACATGTAAAGATGGAACTGGACTTGCATTGTCAAAACTGCCCCAGGTGTGAAAGGAATGTGAAAGTGAAAACCAGTTCAATTTATAGGAGAAAAATAAGAATTCCTCTCTTTTTTAAGAGCATTATTCTATACAAAATATTTTCTTCAATTAAAAATATCCTTTACGTGGTGCTTTGCTTATGAGCAGTGTTGTGAAAAGAGATGAGGAGAGAAAACCCTTTAAGGACCCCTGCTGTCCTTAGTATACTCCTCCTTGGGCTTCTTGTAAAAGATTGCAGTAAATACTTCAATTTCTGTGGGGTTTTGGGGGGGGATGGGCAGGGGGCACGGGTGGGAATGGTAATCCATTGTGTGTTTGGGTGCAGAGCAGTGCCCGGATGGGGCCAGAGGGCAGCTGGGCTCCTGTGGATCGCACGGGCCTGACCTTATTAGTGGGCTGTGCTGTCAGAGCCTTTTCCAGAGAGGGCTGAGACGCTTTATATGGGGGGAGAAAAGGAAACACTGGTTTATCATCTGAAGTGATGTTTTCTTATGCCCGAGAACTATTCAGTTTATATTTCTGTACAGATGCATATGTCTTGAATTAACACCCTCTATAAATACCGTATATAAAATTTGGAGTTTTTCTGAAATTGGAAAAGTACTCACTAAGTGGCTTTACACACAGACACACTTGAATGAAACAAAATCCCGAGTGACTTAACACCTTTTAACTAACTGGCAAGATTTGATCCAAGTGAGCACGTGATTCTATTTTAGACAATAGGTGGAGTAAATGCCTTTGGATTGTAATGACTTGCTTGTTTTTCTTATGAACCTGGGGTGGGTAGTGAAAGGTATTCAGTTTGGAGATAGTCTTAGAATGAAATGTAAATCTAATCGGGCTAATACTGATCTGAGGGTAAAGTGGTTAATCTCCCCAGGAAGTGGGAGTGTGTATGTTACCCCGAGATGCCATTCATTCACCAGATCTTCTTGTGCATTTGTTCTGTGCCTGGCTGTGGGGAGAACAGGAGAAATCAAACAGGGTTTCTACCTGTGAGGGTCCATAAGCTTGTGGGGAGGAGGGGCATCTGAACAGACACTTGTGAGACTCTGTGGGAAGGACTTTGGGGTCCCGAAGAGGCAGAGCCAAACTCCCAGGTGAGGTGGCGCAGGCGGCGTTAGCTTTACCGAAGCAGCCACCCTGCTATTGGGCCTTGGGGACAGTATTGAGGTTTGTCGGATGGAGGAGGTCCTGGCCAGGCCTGCTCTAAAGAGGGTGGGGTGACCCTGGAAAGGCAAATGCAGGCCAGACTGTGTTAGGTTTTATCCTCCAGGTAGTAGGGAGCCATCGAATGTCATTTGGCAGAAGAGTGCTGTGCTTAGGGTGGTAATTTTAAAATTAATAGTGACAGTGTGGAGGCCGAGTGAGGCAGGGGAGAACATGTGGTGGTGGTCTGTGACGACTGAGGGCCTGAATCGAGGCCGTGGCCATGGGGACACAAAGGATGGGGACGGCTTTGTAGCTGAAGTCAGAGGTGGCGGAGCTTGAGGCTCGTGCGGACGCAGAGGGGAAGTTGGGGCTCGAGGGATCACCATTCCCACTTTGTAATGCTGTTTTCCCAGAGAGGGCAGCACAGGGTGGGGAGGAGGTTATGGGGGAAGACAGGATGGATAAGTATGGTTTGGAACAGGTTGAATTTGTAGCCTCCTGTGAGGTGTGAATTTATTTGGAAACAGGTATGCCGTGAAATACTGTGATCCACTCATGAGGTGTTTGGGACATTTTTAGACTGTTAGCAAAGGTGAAGAAGACATCATACGTATGGAAGAGTGGCCCCTCAGCTTAGAGGTATGTTGCAGAGGGGGAGCTTGGCTCTTGTCGTGTGGTGGATGGAGACGTCTGCCTCTAAGACCCCTTCCTGCTCCCCACAGTTGGCTCACTGTTAATAGAGTGACATGTTCTGAAAGGTAATCCAGGCCTCTTCATTCATAGCTTTGGGGTAATGCTTTCCTGTTTGATGGAGTGAGCGGAAGAGCCGGCCCGGGCTCCTGGTGAATCGGACTAGGATGCTTCCCGGGCCCGATGGCTGCGGGCTCCCTCCCTCCGCCATCGCCGTGCCTCTCATGAGCTCCACCCTGTGTTTCAGATCACCGAAGTGGCCTTGGAGTACAACAACTGTCACGGGGACCAGGTGGTAGAGCGGCTCCTTCAGCACCTGCGGCGAGTGGACACCCCGGTGTTCAGGCCTCTGGCGCCTGAGCCCCCCGCGCAGCTGCCGGAGCCGCCGCTGATCACGGCGTCCCCCTGCTGCAACACCGTGGTGCTGCCCCAGTGGCACTCTGTCTCCAGGACGCACAACGTCTGTGAGCTGTGTGTCAACCAGAGCGCGGGGGGCGTCAGGCCGAGCTCGGTCGGCATGCCGCAGTGCAGCTTTTTTGAGATGGCGGCAGCTTTGGATTCTTTCTACCTCAAGGAGCAGACCTTTTATCATGTGGCGTCGGACAGCATAGAATGCAGCAATTTTCTGAGTTTCTACAGCCCCTTCAGCTACTACACTGCATGTTGCAGGACCATAAACAGGGCCGTGACGGGCTTCATTGATTCTGGACAAGGTGTCTTTGAAACCCCGACCATCGCGTTTTCTTCCCTCGAGAAGAAATGTGAGGCTGATCCCCCAGGCTCCGTTCCTCACATTGAGGAGAACAGGTATCTCTTTCCTGAAGTGGACGTGAGTAGCACAAACTTCACAGGCCTGAGCTGCAGAACCAACAAGACCCTGAACATCTACCTTTTGGATTCAAATTTATTTTGGTTATATGCAGAGAGGCTGGGGGCTCCGAGCGCCACTCGGGTGAAGGAATTTGCCACAATTGTTGATGTGAAAGAAGAGTCTCACTATATCTTGGATCCAAAACAAGCTCTTATGAAGTTCACCCTAGGTACTGTGGGCAGTTTCCTTCCCCAACATAAAAAAGTATTGCTTAATTTAATACCGGTAACTATTATCCAGGGATCTCAGTACATTTGGTCATGGGGGGATGTCAGTTCTGTAGCTCACTTGAAATCTTTAGACTGCAGTTGGTCATCATTTTAAAAGAAGCTAATTTTGTCTAATAAAGGGAACAGAAACTTCCTAACTCCAGATTTTGGATAAGTTTGTCTTGTAGTCCCTGGGGGGTTGGGGGGGATAGGAGTCCAATGTTCCAGACTGGCAGTGCCTGTCCCGTTTCTGAGTTGCAGTGAGCTGCATGGGGTGGGCAGGAAAGGCAATGGGGTGGCGACCCATTGTGCTACGAGCATCCCGGGGGGCTGATGAATGGGACCCCCGCAGCAGTGCCACTCCAAAGGAGCTTAAACAGGAAGCAGTGAAACGTAGAACCACCTGTCCTCCCTTTGGTCTCACAGGTTTGGATGTGCAAGTATCAAGGCCACCAGACCTAATTTGTTCTTTTGCTGTTTATACCTCCTTGAGAGATGCTGCTCTGATCTTCTGTGTCTCGATTGTAACAAACAAGCGTCAAGGGCAACAAACAAGTGTCCTGTTGCAGACCAGCAAAAACCCACTTTGGGGGTGGGGAGCCCCGTGATGGGAAAACATCCGCGAGCTTGCTGTTGGGGCTTGGCAGCAGCAGTGAACTAACCCACGCTGTCCTGTTCCCAGGACTTTGCTGACATCCTTGATGTCCACACAAGGAAGTGAGAATTCAAAAGCCGTGTTAGTTCAGCCTCAGTGGAAACACGGGGAAAGTCATTGTTTGCCAAATGGAGACAGGAGGAATTTGGTAGGGAGAGAAACCTTTTACTTCCAAGTTTTAGAGAATATGAAAGCAAGAGTGAAATTTATTTATTAGAGAGATAACGAAAGAGAGCAGGAGCCCGGGGGGGTGGGGGTGGGGAATGGGAGAAGCAGGCTCCCTGCTGAGCAGGGATCCTGACACAGGGCTTGGTCCCAGGACCCTGAGATCATGACCTGAGCGGAGGGCAAACGCTTAACCAACTGAGCCACCCAGGCACCTCCTGAGTTTTCTTAAAGTGAAACAAGCCTGTGTTTTTAGAGTGTTTATTAGACTTCATAATTCTGTTCAGTAATACTTGCCATTCAGTGAGCTCATAATGGTGTTCAATTTGAGTTCAAGGGTCATCTGAAAGAAGCCTTCTTCAGATTTCTTTTTTTTTTTTTTAAGATTTTATTTATTTGAGAGAGAGAATGAGATAGAGAGCATGAGAGGGGGGAGGATCAGAGGGAGAAGCAGACTCCCTGCTGAGCAGGGAGCCCTATGCGGGACTCGATCCCGGGACTCCAGGATCATGACCTGAGCCGAAGGCAGTCACTTAACCAACTGAGCCACCCAGGCGCCCCCTTCAGATTTCTTTTGATCTTCTGTATCTACTCTGAAACATAAGTCTAGCTCAGTTTTTCTTTGTCCTGTAGTTGGTGACATTTGTAAGGGTCCTCGTGAAAAAAGGCCTGTGTGTCGCTGGTTTGCAGAGTTGACTCTTCATTCAGCTTCTCCGGGCCAGTTTAGGGATTTAGGTTTCGTTCACATGAGGGAATTTTTGGTTTTATGTTTCAGAAACCTAGCCAAGTAAGTAACTCACATGCAAGACAATGACCTCTCTTTAGTATGCACATGACACCCTTCACTCCTCCTCCCTCTGCGGAACACATCACTATTGGACCTCAAAATGGAGAGTTAGAAGTAGGAGAAAGAAGGGAGAACACAGCAGATCAGTCCTGCTTCTGACAGACAACCAAGCAATCTGAGGACACTGGAGTTTATGGGAAGGGAAAAGCTGTCAGTTCAAGTTAGGTTTTCAGATTGCTTGTGGGTTTTATTTATAGGTTTTCCCACTAAATATGATTGAGTTTATTTTTCCTAAACTTTCAAAAAGGAAACTTGAAGAACTCAAATAAACATGAGGAACACCTGTCCGCTCACGGCAGCTTGTGTAGTAGCTGTCTTTGTAGTGATGTTTAGAGGTCTTGCGATCGTAGGTTGAAATCTCTTAAAGATTGTGGCATGATGATCTGTGCAGTCTCGGGTGTCTCTTTGTGGACTGATCCTGTTAGAAAAAAAGGAGAATTCCTAGTCTGTAAATACTAGAGCATCTGACATTGTGCGGCATTTTGTTACCTAAATCCCCGCCTGGTGCATTCAGGGTTTTGCCTGTAGGTGAAGTGTTAAAAATGCAAGCCTGTGAAGCCAGCCCATTTTTTTTAAATGTAGAGTTTAAAGTAGGCCAGCTACTCTCCCAGTACTTAGCGAAGAGCTGATCTCATTTTCTCTTTATTTTTAGAGTCTTTTATTCAAAACTTCAGCGTTCTCTACAGTCCCCTGAAAAGGCATCTCATTGGAAGTGACTCTGCCCAGTACCCTTCTCAGCATCTAATCACTGAAGTAACAACTGATACCTTTTGGGAAGTGGTCCTTCAAAAACAGGTATGGAATCATGAGAGAGGCAGAAATCATGCCATCTCTCCCTACTAAAATAATCCCCAGAGCTGCAGTTGTTGGGGTGAGCATTCAGGTTTGATGTGCAGATTAATCACATGGCAGTCTTCTTGCACAGCATGCATGAGTTACATGCTGGTTTTCTAACTGCAAAAAGTCCTTAAAGAAAGCACATAATGAGGCACCTGGGTGGCTCAGATGGTTGGGCGTCTGCCTTCGGCTCGGGTCACCAAGCCCCACATCGGGCTCCCTGCTTGGAGGGAAGCCTGCTTCTCCCTCTCCTCCTGCTCCCCCTGCTTGTGCTCTCTCGCTCTCTCTGTCAAATAAAATCTTAAAAAACAAAACAAAACAAAAAAACACATAATTGGAAAGATCTAAAAATAAAATTTTTCATCATGGGTGCATAAGCAACATTTCTTGAATGCCTGCTGGGTTCTAAGCACAATGAGGATGTGAGCCCATTTCCTAGGCGCCAGTAACAGCCGTCTTCCCTTCCCCCAGGACGTTTTGCTGCTGTATTACGCACAGTGGTGTGGCTTCTGTCCATCCCTCAATCATATCTTTATCCAGCTAGCTCGCCTCCTGCCGACGGATACATTCACTGTGGCAAGGTAAGGGAGCCTGCGGCACTTTGGGCCTGTGCCTGTCTTCCCTCCTTACGGCTTAGCCATATGGTTTGCAAGGGTCTGCCCATTGTTCGTTAACCTTGGGTAAGACTTGGTGTGATTTAATTGTCAGTTTAAAGCCATGAGCAAAACCTCACCGAAACTGAAGTTTTCCTGATGATTTCTGAATGTTCCTTCCATGGTGTCGAGTATGTTTAGCCCTGATTGAATTCATGGAAGGGTGAGTGGAGGAGCAGTGCTGACCTGGTTGCTAGGACAACCCTTGGATTGGCCAACTCTCCGGAATACCATGGGAAGGGTGCCCACGGACTTCCATGGTGCTGGGGCCTTGGCCCAGTGAAAGGGGACAGGTCCCCAGTGTGCCTCCAACCGGCCCTGGGACCTGGAGCAAATCTCTCCACCAGGTTTAGTTTCCCTTCTCACTCCTAAAATTAGGAGGAAGAATTGGTTGATAACTATGTGTTCTAGTTTTGTGATTCCTTGGGTAACCAGACGTGGCCTCTGTAGTAAGCAAAACAATTTTTAAATCATTGTTTTGTAAAAAACAAGCCTCAAATAAAGAGTTTTTGGAAAAGGTACTAAGCTGTTTGGGCTGGGGGGGCGTTGTTTAGACTTCAGCCTTCCAGATAGAATTAAATATAGAAGATTAAATCATAGGAAAAAATAGCAGAACGTAGAGTATTGGGTTTTGCTAGTTCCTTCGAGAGATGGAAACTTTCCAAGGTGAAGCAGTTACAAAAAATAATTAAAGATAAACAGATTCCACTAGAAAAGGGCTCAATGAGAGAAGTGAGGAAGGTAGGCTTTAAAAAAAGGACAGTAGCTGTATTTTACAGCATCTGTATTTCACCCACTGGATCTGGTCTAAGTGATGATTAGAGCCAAATTTGAGGAGTTACTGTGCCATGAGATTTTTCTTCATACATGTTATCTGTCCTGCTCGTTGGAACACTCAGTGAAGCAGGTCTTAGGATCTCTTTTTACTGAGGAGGAAACTGAGTCACAGAGAGGGTAGGTAACTTGCCCAGAGTCACACTGCCTGTAAGTGAGGGACCAGGACCCAGAATCAGGTGTTCATACTCCAGACCCTGAGAAAGAACAAAGGCTTAAGGAACTGCCAAGAGGAGAATGTGGTCTGTCCGCATGGGGGAATGTTCTTCAGCCTTAAAAAGGAGGGACATTCTGACACCTGCTACAACATGGATGAACCTTGAGGACTCAGTGCTAAATGAAGTACAAAGATACAAAAGGACACGGGATGCCTGGGTGGCCCAGTCGGTTAAGCGTCTGCCTTTGGCTCAGGTCATGATCTCAGGGCTTGGGATCCAGCCCTATTCAGTGCTCCCTGCTCAGTGGGTAGTCTGCTTCTCCCCCTGCCCCTCCCTGCCCCTGCTTGTGCTCACACTCTCTCTCTCTCAAATAAACAAATAAAATCTTAAAAAAAAAAAAAAAAGGACACATACTGTGTGATTGCAGGGATATGAGGCACCCAGAGGAGTCAGATTCACAGAGACAGAAAGTAGATGGTGGGTGCGGGGGAGTGGGGAGCTGTTGAATGGATAGAAGGTCTCCGTTTTGCAGGATGAAGAAATGGTTGGGGAGTTGGGTGGTGGTGATGGCTGCACCCCATTATGAGTGCACTTATCACTGCTGAGCTCTGCGCTCAGAAATGGTCGGGCTGGGACATTTTATGTGTGTTCTACCACACTGAAAAACCAGCCCGGGGGCAGGGGAGACACAGCCGGGAGGGACTCCTGGGTGAAGAAAAGACTTGAGTAGGTTTTTCCTGGAGGAGGAGAGTATAAATAAACAAGTATGGAGATTACAGTCTAATAAGTATAAAATAATAACAAAGTGTCATTTACACTTACTAACAGATGCTTTTAAGTGACAGCATCTTGTGTTGATAAAGTGAAGTTGGCACAGTCAGACCTAGCTCATGAATTGGGCGTAACCGTTTTGGTAAGCGTGTTAGCAGCATTTGTAAGAAAGCACAAAAATAGTTAACATTTTTGCCCCAGTTAATTTCACTTTGGGGAATTAAGGAACTAGGGCTTGGAGAGGAGCGTGACACTGTGGCATGGTTTATGTCCAACAGGAGAGCCATAGCTAAGTCAGTTGTGGCTGGGAGTTTGATGGGATTTTGACCCATTTATTAGAGCAATGCTTTTCATAAAATTAATTGAAAAGAATCGCATATGAGATGTACAAGTGCCGCTCTTTACAATGTAGAGGCATATACACCAAGCCCGAATGAGAATCCCAGAAAGAAGGTCCTGATTAGCCCAGTGGAATTCTGAGCGGATGTTTACGATGATGTTTTTCTTTCAAATTTAAATTTTTGTTTTTGAAGTAAAACTCAGAAGAAAAGTATTTGATGATAGACTAAAGCGTTCAATGCCACTTGTTTAAAAAACGGAACTCTGATGTTTTAGGCAGGCTGTCCCAGGCAGAGGGAGGAGTGCTGTTTTGTTCAGTTGTTTGAAACCATTATAATTTGGTCATCCTTCTGGACAAATGCATGGTACTGATTCACTCCCACCCCCCATTATACTTTCTGGAAACTTCTGTCAAGGTAGTGATACAAAAAATTGCCATCTTTTGTATGCATTGTTTGTGATGATTGACATCGGAGCCTCCTGGCCAAGTGGCCCTCCATGGTCTGCTCCCTCCTTCTAGGATGTTTTTTGTTTGTTTCTGCACCACCTGAGTGATCCCTGCGGGCTGGGGTTGGGGGCTGCTGCCTCCTTCAATAGTAATAAAGCACAGGGTGGGTAATTGAACACAGGTGTCATTTTTTGTCATCTTCTGCATTAGAAAATTAATCTAAAATCTGCTAAAAAATACAGGTTTGTGGCCTCCCTCCAGATTTACAAAATATAAATATAAAATAGAATGTAGCTTTCTTATGTCTTCAGAGGCTTGATGTATTTTGCACAGTGATTTCCTTTTTCCAGAGCCGATGGAGAGATTAAAGTACTTGACCAGATCCCGTCAGGTGGGTGGACTGCTCCCAAGGTGTCAGTGAGGTGGTTTTTTTGTTTTGTTTTGTTTTGTTTTGGAAAGCTCATTTTTACTCTGAGGACATGTCCCTTCCGCTCCGTAAGTGAGGTGGAAAGTTACATATTCTGGAAGCATCAGCTCTTCTTGCCTGAGTTGCAGCCGGCTTGCACTGGCACTGACTATGAGGGGCTGGTCAGTGTGGCCACAGCAAATGTTCCAGGCTCTTCTGTTACTGGAGAAGCTTCTTTCAGGGTGGAGTGTCTTGGGCTGATCTTTCACTTTTTCTCATCTTTCCCTTTGCCAGGATTGATGTGTCTCAGAATGACCTTCCTTGGGAATTTATGGTCGACCGTCTTCCCACTGTCTTATTTTTTCCCTGCAACAGGTAAAGCTGAATTTTTTCAATATTTGGGCGGATGGGATTCTTTTGCTGAAAATGAAATGGGTTTAAGGCACTTCAGAGAAGTGAAATGCAAATCATTAGCTATTACTAAACTATTATGAATAAAATACATTGTTCAAAAAATGTGCCATTAGGGACCAGGGGTAAAAGGGCTTTGGCATCACGAGGTCAGATGTGGTTTTGGTGAGAACTTTCCCCTCCCAGAGTGTGTGTTCTCACGAACGTGAATGTGGCCATCAGGACTCGTTTGCCTTCTTGGCCTTATGAGCGTACTACAGTGGATGGAAAGCAAAGAGCCACATTCACGTGGGGCAGGATGGTCGCTCATTGTTGAGCCCCCGGACGTCAGGCCCTGCTTGCCCCAGGCTTTCACGTGTGTCATTTTCCATCGGGTCCTGCTGATGAGCACCTTGTCCCTCTTGTGCAAGTTGGAAATGGAGACTCTCCTCCCCACTGCACCCCATTCCTGGGATTCAAGGAGCCTTCTCCCCAGGTGTGCAGACTTCTGTGAACGTCTGCCCTGGGGCTGTCACCTTGAATGTCTTCACATTTGTCTAAGCGGACTCCCAAATTCAGTGATGACAGCAACTACCCTGAAAGCCCAATAGACAGGGGTGGGACATAAGCAAAGCCTAACTTGGCAATTAGTAAATGTTAGATGCGGATGTTTTGCTAAAAAGGAAATTAACTCTTGGCCTTTGAAAGCCTGATAAACCAGATGTTCTGCCCTGTTTTAAAAAAATATTCCCTTTTGTTTATAGAAGAATGGGTCCTCAGGGACCAGTCACCCGGCTCTGACAGTATCTTTCCAGGGGGAAGCATTTGCAGGATTATTTTAGTGAGGTTCCTAAGTCATACATGTGATGTCTCCTGTTCTCATCTCCTGCACTCACTTCTACTGTTCATTGTAGCCACTGCCATACTTTCTGTTTCTCCAGGAGCATGCTTCCTTCCTAGAGATTGAATCATTTCCTTGTTTTTTCCTCTTTATCTCAAGGAATTTTTGCTGGAATACTTCCTGGGGTAGTAGGGTCCTGTCACATCACACACTAAAAACAGAGTGTGACTCATCTGTTAACTGTCGTGATGAACCTTTTCCTTCTAAGAAGCATTTAAAGTGCCACACAGTCAAGGGATCCTGGGCACTAACACTCGCAATTTCATCTGTGTGGGATGGAGGTCGGGCATGAAATCTAATGAAGCCTGGTTTTGGAATTTCAAACATAGTCTGGGAAAGTGGTAAAGTCATAACACCCAGCACATGCCTTTGCATGGAGACATTCTCAGCAACTAGAATGCAGGAGTATGTATTGAGAGAGAGCAAGAGAGAGAGACAGAGAATCGTGTGTTTGGGAGACTGAGTCAGGCTGTGTGGGGGGCCGAGCTTTCATCGGGAAGCCACCTGATGTCACTGTGGGGATGCGTGTTGGTGTTCCCTGCAGCCCCTCCCCATTAAAAAGTCAAGAAGGTAAATATTGGATATGAGAAGAGAGTCCAGCTCTTTGTTAGTACGCAGAGCTTGGGAAACCAAAGCCTTACTGCTCAGGAATGGAATTTTTCTTATTTCCTAAAAACAAAGAGTATTCAGCAATGAAGTAAGCTCCTCGTCAGCTGGTTCAAGTTGAGTGTTCGGCATAATGGGCCAGAAGGTGTCATGGGCAGGAGCTGACAGCTTGCAAGAGAGGAAATGAAAAAGGTCTTTTTCACAATGCATATGCTTATGTTATTTTTAGTGAAGAGAATATATGGGTTTTGATAAAAGAGAAGTTTGCATGTGCACTAGGTTCAAATGTGTGCAGCAAGTAGGAGAAATGTCAAGATGTTGACAGTTCTTTTGGAGGAGGATTACAGGTGATGTGAGGGCTGCAGCTGGTTTGCTTTGCAGCTGGTCCCCAGTGAGCACGTGTTTTATAGTCATGGAAGAGAGAAGCCACATGGGATGGCTGTGCCCCTCCTGCCCCTGCAGGTCCGGCTCTCCTGTGCAGGGACGTCTTGCAGCCGCTCTGCTCACACCGCTCTGTGTGACGTTGCGGAAGTCAGGTGCTCTGGCCGGGCCTGGCTGAGGATGTCCCGGGGGTGCGGTGGATTACTGTAGTGTGGGCCCTGGGAAGGGAGCAGCCCGCCTGCCCCCACTCTCCTACCCCCTTCTTTGGAGTAGAGGCCTTATATCCTGTTCCTCATGTTTTCATCTAGCCGTTTAGGTGCTAGAGGTGCATGAACACACTCCTAGCGGATTGAGAGTGGACTCACACCGTGGGGCCTTTTACGACTCCACTTCCAAAATGATTCCTTTGTGGAAGTTTGTTCACACCTCGTGTCCTTGCCACTCCTAGAAAGTTGGAAAGCCGTTCAGCACATGGGTTCGGTGGATTCACAGAGATTGCTCCAGGGACTGGACTCCAGAATAGTGTGCTGACAGGTGTCATTCTCAGTCCTGCAAATGTCTCCACACACACTAAGGCACCTCGGCAGCTCTCTCCTGGGGATTCAGCTCCTCTGTCCTGTGAGACCAGGTTTGCGCTGCACGGCTCAGGGGCGGAGCCAGCCTCCACTTGTCCGCTCGTCCACTCGTCGTCGTTCCTCACCTGCACCTCATAGGGACCTGGGGGTTTTCAGTCATCCGTTGAAAGGCTGGGAGTCCCCAACTCGAAGGAAGCTTCTCTCTGTGAAGAAAACCATGCTTTAAGGGAGGGTGTGGTTATATACTTACTCCACATATTTGACTAGTCCATGTATCTGAAAGTCTCCGTAAATGTATAAAACAGGGCATGTGTGATTTTAATTTCCCTGTGATTCTTATTTCATTGGGAAAGAGCTATCCATCAGCAGAACACCTTTTGTCTTTTCTTAGATATTTGACCACTGGCTTTGTGTGTGGAGAGGGTGTGTAAGCTTTTAATGAATGGTTTCTTGGTTTTTTAAGGAATGATATGACTGTTTTTCAGCTAACACTCAGCATTCAGGTTAATCCGTGTCATCTGAACAGCAGTCCCGTGAGAGTGACGATGCGTTTATTACCCCTTTTACAGAAATGAGGCAGTGCAGGGGTGCAGAGGGGTCACCTGTCTGGGCGCTCAGGATTGTGAGTGGCAGCCTTGTGAGTCTGCCCGGCAGGCGGCTCTGGGGCCCATATGTGGCAGAAATGTTGGTCATCAGACAGTTAAATGACAACTTCTAAAAAGGAATTTTCTACATCAGGACTTGCAACAGAGCTTTGGGGGAACCCCCTTCATATGTCACTTTCCTTCCTTATTCTGTGCTTTCAGGGCGGGGTGGCCTTAATTTCTCGGAGTCCCTTGGTTGGTCTTTGTATCAGGGGTCAGGGCTTGAGTGATACCTCCTCCATCGTGGTAATAAAAATGTCTCCAGATGTTGCCAGATGCCCCTGGGGAGTTATAGTCGCCCCCGGTTGAGAACTCCTGCCTTGGATAATGTGTAATAAATGTTGGCGGAAGAAATCTGGCTGAGTGTTCAGTCTTCCCTATTGCGCCACTGTTGACGGCCACGGAGTGACACGGGTGACGTCCTGCCCCAGGACATCCTTCCTTACACGCCCCTGAGCCTCTCAGAGCTCGCGGAGGCCCCGTTGCCCATGCGCTGCCGGTGCCCTCCATCCCTGGCTTGAGGCTTGGGTCTGGGAGCTTCTTGTCTTTCTTGGAAGGTTGTTACCAGAAACTGGGCTCTTTGTCCTCAGGAACAAACACATATTTGAGATAAGCCACGTTAATTACAGAATGAGCACATGGGACATCTTCAGCTTCGTAGAAAAGTTTTTGCCCAGATAACATTTTCCCCGCTTTAAGTAAAATCCTCGGAATGTCTTTCGGTGGGAAGTAAGCAGCCTGACCTTCAGTAGTGGTGTAGTTTGGACTACGAATGTTGACAGGACTCTCACGTTTGACTCCTTTCCCTTTCTCTCCAGAAAGGACCGTAGTGTGAAATACCCCGAAGACCTTCCCATCACCCTTCCTAATCTGCTGAGGTTCATTTTGCATCACTCAGACCCTGCTTCCGTCCCCCAGAACTTAGCTAACCCTCCTACCAAAGAGTGTCTTCAGAGCGAGGCAGTCTTCCAGCAGGGGCACATCTCCCACTTGGAGAGAGAGATCCAGAAGCTGAGGGCAGAAATCAGCACCCTTCAGCGCGCACAGGTGCAGGTGGAGGCCCAGCTCTCCAGTGTGCGCAGGGACGAGCACCGGCTGCTCCGGCAGAAGCAGACCCTGGAGAAGCAGCACAGCCTGCTCCAGCTGCACAGCCAGCAGCTGCAGGCCCTGTACGAGCAGAAAACCCGCGAGCTCGAGGAGGTGGCCCGTAAGCTCCAGGAGCTGGCCGACGCCTCGGAAAACCTCCTCACCGAGAACACGTGGCTCAAGATCCTGGTGGCAACCATGGAGCGGAAGTTGGAGGGCAAGGACGGAGCCGAAAGCCTCCCTCCCCCACAGGAGGTCGGCTCTGACCACCCCGAGCCCCCAGGCCCCTCCCGGCTACCTGGCAGCACCCCTCTGCCTTCCAACAGCAGCTCCACACTGGCGTCTGAAAGGAGCAATGAGAACAGGACAGACTAACTTTTAAAATGACATGAAGAAATCAGAGGTGAAAACTGTACATTGGGAATATATTTATGCAAATTTTATTGAAATTTATTGTAAATAAAGATTTTCTCAGTGGTCTAGAAAATCAAGTTGAATGTCATTCAGCGTTTATTGAATAGGGATGACATCCCTTCCACTTATTGCACAAACTTGGTAGCTTGGACAGAAACAGTAACACAGTCCATTTGAACATTTGTCTGAAAAGTAGGTCCGTAGTTTCGTGGCTCAGTGTCACAAAGAGTTCCCTCCCCATTCCCCGACGGTTGCTTCTGTGATGACATGCAGGATGAAAGGCTGATTTCCTGACTGACCCGTCAGAAGACCAGAACACAACAGTGGGGCTATTCAGAAAGAATTCAATGAGAGGTCATAACTTAACTAAGCCATGTGAATGTGTGGTTCTGGCGTCGACACTAAAAATAGTAGCTATTGATCAATAGGAACAGTGAGCGCTATTATGTGGTTGTTCGCCGCCTCTCCGGGCACTCCCACTTGCCTCGCAGAGACCCTCACCAGTGCCACCCCCGAGCCTGCGACCCTGACCCGGCCCTGCCACTGCAAAGACGTTGCCCCTGGCAACCGGGGCAGAGGTGGGATGAGGAACCCCCAGGAGTGAAACCCAGGAGAAAGTGAAGGTTCATCATTTCAAAACCAGAACTTCACCGCCACCAGTTCAAACCTCAGGGCAAGTCTGACAGTCAAAGCCATCTCGTTCAGGGACGGCCTGGGGCCGGGGTTCCTCGGTTCCCCAGATGAAGACAGCCTGGCCGTGTGCTGCTGGCTGCGGAAAGTAGAGGTAGAAAGCCTGGAAGTTCTGAGATGTGAGCGGAACGGATCAGACACCCCTACACCTTCCACGTTGGGTCTCCAGGGTCCTTCACCGGAAAGCCAGCCTTCTCCCAGATCTTCCAGGGGGCGCCTTTGAGAGTGCTGGCCTCCTCCGGTCCAAGGGGCCTCTGAGGGTCTCTGGCCTCTCAGGCTCGGCCATCCCCGTTTTAGGGGACAGGGACGTGTCTCCTGTGCTAAGGCCCAGCTGCCTTGCAGGGGCTCCTCAGTAGCCCCCTGGGGCGTCTCCTTCCCGCCTACAGCTCAGACACTACCGAGCTACCCTTCTCCCATCCCACAAGCTAACACTTCATGTTTGACCCCCAACTGAAGGGTATGCTGCTAAAACGAAGTGTTCCCTAAGCCCCCTCCTTGAGGTTCCAGAAAGTAGATTATGAGTTCCACATGCTTGTTAGAGACTTGAGTGAGGCCAGAGGACCTGCCGTCAGCCCGACCAGTGCTCCGCAGCTAAGCCCACGCTGGCCTCCAGTTTATTACCAAGGATGCTGACACAAGCCACGTTTTAATCATGATAGTGGAGAATGTGCTTTATGGTGGTGGGATTAACAATCTCAGCGAGTTCACTGAAGTATACACAAGGGAAACCTTGGAGATGTTTGTGGGGGCGCTGGCCCGAGTGACAGCCACCAACTCATCTTCATGGAAACCCCGTCCTGAACCTGAAACTCACTCTCCCCGCCACGCCCTCCCCCGGGGCCCAGTAGGGGTGGGCTGTCAGGCCGCCGTCCCAGGGGGCTTTCCTGGGTGCTCATGCACTTGGGGCTCTTGGAGCAGGGTCAGGAGACTCTCCTAGGTGGCCCGCTGGGGAAAGTGAAGTCCAGTACCCAGCAGGTGGGTGGTGCTCAGAGAAGAAAGGAGACTAATGCATGAAAAGGAGGAGGGGGGACCCTCGAGGTCTCCTCCCCCACCCCTCCAGTGCAGAAAGTATTAAATAGAACAACAAACAAAAAACACTATTTCCTCTTTGCTGGGCCAGCTGGGTTTCAGATAAAGGTAGCCGCCACAGGCGCTGGTGTTCCTAGCGAAGCTTAATGATGAGTAATGCTGCGGGGGGCGGGCCAGGGGGGACAGCAGTGGCGGGGGAGAGTGCTCAGCATGCTTAAGAAACTGCTCTGCCACCAGGCCGCCTGGTAGCCCTCAGGATGCGGGCCCCGGCTCGTCCTTCACCGGCTCTCAAGCAGCGGCGGCGGCTTCCTTGCAGTAACTCCACTCTCAACAGGAACTGGTTATTTCGCGACCGAAGGGGGGCGCGTGGTTCTTCCATCCATTGCTAACCAAGCAGAAATCACCAAAGCACCCCAGCTGGTCAGCCATGAGACTTAAAACAGACATGTCCCGTCCTCTGCCCACACACATACACACATATATATTAGAGGCCCCTACCAAGTGCAGTGTGGGCCTTCCATGTCTAAGAAACCCCCCCCCACAGCCTTGAGTCAGCTTATCATGACTACAGTCTGTCCCATGTGCTCTACACGGTATTTTTAAAAATCAGCAAAAAAAGGCTTCAGCACATGCTTCTGGGGCCTATTTACAGTTCACAGGTTTGTGAGTTCACGCGTTACAGTAGTAGCTCCATCAAAAACAGGCTCAGCTCAACATTCAAGTAACAAAAGCGCTACGGGGTCGTGAGCCCCAGCAAGGTCAGGCCTGCCCACTGCCTGCAATGGGCAGTCCCACCAGGAGGCGTCCCGGCTAAGGACGGCCAAGGCCTCAGGAGCCAGTGCATGCGGTGATGAAGCCCAGCCAGGCCATGCCTGCAGGTGTCAAGCCGTCCCCAGCAGCACGTCTGTGGTTCCGCCCCTCCCCATGCCTCTCAGCCAGCTGCAAACAGGCCACGGGGCCTCCGCATCCCAGCTCAACCGTGGACGTCTGGGCCGTGTGGGGTTAGCTTGGCCTTTCTCTCCCCGCACGGTCCCTTGGCGGAGTACTGCACCAGCAGGAAGGGCTCCTTGGTCTCGCCATCGCCCACGATGCTCTCCTCGTCTTCCGACTGGCTGATATGCTGCAGGCGCAGGTAGCACCAGCAACCCAGGATCAAGGCCCCCAGGGCAGCGATGGCGATGAGGATGACGATGACCGTGACCACGCCCGTGGTGGGGCTGTGGTCCATAATAGACATGGTCAGCGCCTGGGCTTCCGCGGGAGGAAGCTCGTGGGGCCGTCTGCTCAGCGAGGCTGGAACCCAGGCTGGACCCGAGAGCCCTGAAAGACAAAGCAGGGTGAGGCTCCACCGGGGACTCCACGGGGCCCTGCCAGCTCCCAAGCTCGGGGCGGCCGGGGTGGGGGGACCTCTCCCAAAGGGGCTCTTTTTAATCAGGTCTTAAGCCTGACCATCCTGCCCTCATCCTAGTGAAAAACACGCCGGCTGGCTTTCGCTGTTTCTAGCTCATGACGTCACAAGCGTTCTCTTCGCTCCCAACAGCCCACTTCCACTTCCTACCCCTGACACCATCGGTGCTTCTGCTACCAGACAGGAGTCACCCTCGCTCAGCCAGGAACTGCCCAGGGACCAAGAGGAGCCAGTACTCTGTGATGGCCAGACACGAGGGAATGGAAAGCAGGGAAGTGACCTCAGTCCGTCGCTCCAACGGGCGACATATGTAACCCAGCCAAGTCTCCTGGAACACCTGGGAGAGGCTGCAGCAGATGACAGCCTTTGTCCACCAGAGAACTGTGACCCGCCTGGGTCCTGGAATGTGGAGGCACTCAGGACAGCCTGGGGGAGGGCAGACCGGCCTCGGCCCGCACCGAGCTCAGCGTCAGGGGCGGGCCCCGGACCACAAATGGGTTGATATGCCAACGCCATGCCAGGAACACAGGGGCCGGGGTGCCAGGGTGCTACATCGGGCGGGGCAGGCGATACCCGGGGAGGTGAGGCTGATGCTGAGGCAGCAGGAAGAGCCAGCCCCTGGGGAGCATTCCTGGCAGGCGAATGGCATTGGCGAAGGCTCTGAGGCAGGGGAGGGCCTGCAGGCAAGTGCAGGAGCTGAGGGCGGTAGGCAGCGGGAGAGTGCGCTGGACCGCCGCCCGCCTCAGACAAACCTCTGCACCTCGCTGGGCCTCGGATTCCTCCTCTATGGACAGGGCTGGCGAGGGGCGCAGGGGAGCCAGCACTGGGAAGCCCAGCAGGCAGAAAAATCCCAGACCCTCTCGGGCTTCTGAGGCTGCAGGTGCTGGAGCCAGCCGGCTCCCCTGCGTCCCAAGACCCTGCACTTTCTAACTTGGCCTCCTTGCCCTAAAGGAAGCAAATAAGAGTATCGAGCACCCCAGCGTCTGAGGGTGGGGAAACGCATGAGCCACTCTCAGCGCTCAGTAAGAGCTAGCTGTTGAACTCTGCAGAGATGGCCATCAACACAGGGAGAGAGCTCTGGAAGGGAAGGCTTTCCCTCCAGACAGGATGGAACCTGCCGTCCTTGAGCAATAACAGCCATAATGAGAAGTGATTCTTACCCACACCAAGGAGACTCCCCGCCCACCCAAGGCCAGGCGTTCCTGGAGGTCCAAGGTGGCTCAGTCGACGCCCCTGGAGTCTGTCCAGGGCCCTCCCCCCGAGTACGGCCCTGCCAACCATGCCCACATTTGCAGAGATGTCCTGGGCAGGAGGGGGGTGATACCTCTGACGTCTGCCCCCCCTTACCACTTGCAGGCTCAGGCTGTGGCTGTCACTCCCACCAGGCTCCGTGGCCCACCTGTGTGGGTCCACTGTAGCCAACGCCCCTGTGGCCCAGAGGAAAAGCCTCAAGTCCTACAGGGCCCGACAGGCTGCGCCCGCACCCCCTGCTTCTCCCCGGCCACATGACTTCCAGGCCTTTAGCCAGACAGGTCTCTGTGCCCCAATGCTCTGCTCCCCTCCCCCTGTTCAGTGGGCCTCAGCTGGGGCCACTGTGCCTCCCAGGGGACATCTGGCAATGTCTGGAGACGTTTTTGTCATCACCACCGGCAGTGAGGGGGTTCTCCTGGGATGGAGTGGACAGAGACCAGGGGAGTGCTAAACATCCCACGGTGCAGGGGACAGCCCCCATTAACAGAGATCTGACCCCAAATATCAGTAGTGCGGAGGGTGAGAAACCCCGGCGGGCCCTGGTTAACTCCAGCTCAGTAAGGGACGCCTGCCAGGCCCCGCAGCCCAGGAGGGTCTCCTCATCCTGCACCTGCACCTACTCCTGCCCTCCCTCCAGGGCGCTTGCTTCAGTGTGCAACCCTGGCTTCCACAGCACGGCCATCTGGTTGGCACCTGCCTCCCCCATCAGGCTGTGTGCTCCAGGAGGGGCCCTGCACACTGCTCGGCTGCCAAGTGCACAGACTATTCTGGCCTCCTCCCTGCCACCAGCAGGGCTGCCATCAGCTCCCACCATCCCTCTCAGCCTGTCCCCTCAGGCCTCCAGACAGGACAGGTACCCCCCCCCCCCCCGCCCGCCGGACAGCGTGCCAGCTGTGCCGGGTGAACTGCTCTTCCTGCTACAGAGGACGCCCACCTGCCTTGTCCCTCCCCTGGCCCTCTTGTGTCTGGCACCTGCTGGGGTGCCTGCCCTCCTACCAGGCCCCTGGACAGGAAGGCAATGCAGTATCAATTCAGAAAAGGGGAAGTATATGTGTGTTTGGGGGCAGGAAGTAGGAAATCAAACAATGGCGGCAAGACCTGAGGAGGGGGGACCCCCAGGGGCCAAACCTGCCAGGGAGCCTAGGAGGCGCCTACCAGTCCAGGGAAAGCCACATGGTCCCAGGACTGATGGGGAAACTGAGACAGAGGCAGCCCCAGCTCAGAGGGACCCTTTGAGAGGACTGGTGACCGGAAAACCCTATCTGCTGCCCCCGCCCCAGGCCAGGAGGACTCTCACCCCCAAGTGCACAGAGCCCGGTTGACCAGGCCATGGGCATGCCTGGCCTGTGCTTACTGGCGCCACCCCTCCCTGCCCCAAGTGAGTTGTTTGTCCCTGCATTCACTCAGCAAGTATTTCCTCAGAAATGATGGTTTAAAAACTCTGCTCACACCACCCACTGCTCAGAGCCCTTCCTGGCATCAGCAGAGAAGCAAAACTCCCTGCCTCCCTGGATTTCTTCACACCCTCCCTGCCCTCCCACCTCAAACCCTCTGAACTTTCTGTTCCTCCTTCCTGGAATGTTCTTTCCTGACTGTCCCGTGACTGGCTCCTTCTTACCATTCGGGACTTTCTCCGTGGGTGCCTCTGGGAGGGTACCTTCCCAGACCACCCTGGCTCCAGACGCCCCACCACCCCACACCTGCAATTGCCTTGCATTTTACCATTTCGATCCCCAGCCCTATTACCAGTGCACAGCAGGTGCTCGATAAATGCCCGCTGAGTGTTCCAAGCCCGGAGACATAGTGATAAGTTAGAGGGGCCCCTGCCCTCATGGGGATTGTGGTCGGCAGCTCCCACCCCTGAGCCCGCTCTCTAACCCAAAGCCACTCCCGGGACCCTCCACATGGGTCCCCACACCTGTCCCAATAGACTCCAGGAAGCTGGCAGCCTGAGTGCAAGGGCAGGTGGATTCCCAAGAGGTCTGAGCCCATGAAGGGGCAGCTGTCTCCACGTGCTAGGAGGCAGGGAGAGTGGGGTGCCACCGGGAATCAGAGCCCAGGGGACATGTGAAGCATGAGGGTGGCTGGCTGGTTCCCCCTGAACCCCCGTGGCCCAGGCTGGACCCTACCCACTTGCTTTGCCTCTCCCGACTTCCCTCATGCCCTTCTGAGCCAAGGTATCTCCTGCAAGTCAGCTGACCCCTCACCCTGATCCAGGCAAGCACACAGGGTAGGACAGGGATGCCACAGCTTGGGCTGGGTCGACGCCCAGGATGGCGCGTGGGAAACCTGCACCCTCTCAGAACAATCATCAAATTAGCTCAACACTCATTCCCATACACTTGCTTCATCCTACCAACAACCCTGTGGCTAACACAGCTCACCGGTATCGATCCCACTTTACAGATAAGGAAACTGAGGCACAGAGAGTTTGAGTGCATTGCCCAAGACTGAAGAGCCAGAATGTGGGATGTGCCCCCAGAAGTGGGGCCCAGGAGATCAAAGGAGGGGGTCTTCCAAGTGCAGAGGACGGGGCCAGCCTGGTGGACAGAGCAGAGCCAGCAGCCTGGAGGCTCTGGGCGCTCCGCGGGGGGTGGGGGGGGGAGGGACAGAACATACCTCCCCACCCCCAACCTCTGTAGCAGCTCCTGGAAAGTTCCCTCAGTCAGGATGAAGGCTAGCACCCGAGGCCATCTGGATCCCCCAAAACATACAGGACCAATCCTCCACTCTCCCGCTCCGTGGACCCTCAATCCTGCCTCCCTGGGCCAAGGGTGGCCTGACCCTCGGATCTCACCCACAGCTCCTAGAAAAACAAGCTCTAAAGTCCAGGGTCACCAGTCTGCTGAAGCCTGCCCAAGGACAGGGCACTGCTGGGCAGAGTCAGGATGCAGGGGAAGTATATACCCCGTGCCAGATCCAAGCAGGCACTGGGACCCAAGGATGCATGGCACAAGGCTCCTGCCCTCCAAAAACCAGGACCAAGAACAGCAGGGATGCAGATGGGAAAAAGCATTACGGGGCTGAGGCTATGTGCAGCCATATAGCCAGTGTCATCTCGGCCTCTCATCAGCCACCCAATCACACTCCATCCTCCAGAAGAGGAAGCTCGCACCAGAACCCCCTAGGTTCCCAGGGGGCAGAAGAGGAAGCTGGTGCAGACCGAGCCCAGGGACTGCTCCAAGGGACTGCCCCAAGGTCAGTCTGGGTCTCCTGGGGCCCAGGCTTGGGACCCAGACCTGCGGCTCGTACCCCCACCCTGTGAATCAGCCACTGATCATCCTCACAGGATCAGCCCACTTGGCCAAACAACTTTAGTAATAACAGCAGATGCCCAACGAAAGTTGCCAATGATTACCATGTGCCAGACGCGGAGAAGCTAAGCACTTCACGCAGATCCTCTCTCCGCTCAGCCTCAAAACAACTGTAGTGTTGTTATTAAGCCCACTTTGCAGATAAAGAATCTGTGGCTCAGAGAAATTAAGTCAATTGCCCAAGGTCACAAAGCTCAAAAGTAGCTGCACAGGACATCGAACCCAGGCAGCCTGGATTCTGAATCCCAGATTTCAACCCTGAGACAAAAATGTCATATTCTTGGCCCCCACCTCCCCACTCCCCTGCCTCAGGCCCAGGGGTCAGGTAAACCCGAGTGCGGCCCCCGCCGGGGCAGGATGGGTGACAAGGGCTCGATGCTGGGGACACAGGAATGACAGGCGCCCCGGCAGCTACCGCGTGCTGAGCGCGGGCAACGTGCAGGCGCCGTGCCAGGCGAGCTCAACGCACCGTCTCATTTAACCCTGCCAGGCGACGCCGTCTCCCCCACTCCACCAAGGAGCTGAGCGAGGCTAGAGGGACGAAGGGGCTCGGCCCCCTGGGCGACAGCTGGAGGGGGGCGACAAGTGGAGAAGCAACTCCAGCCGGCCCGACTGGGGCGGGGGAGAGGAGGGACGGGGGACCACGATACCCAGTCATGCCCACGCCGCGCAGTCACCGCCGACGAAACTCGGCACCAAACGCTGCGGCCCGTCCTCAGTTTCCCCACCTGCTAAATGGGCGCCAGACCTCGCCAGGACCCGCGCTCCCACCCCTAACCCCCGAAGCCCTCCGGGCCACCCTGGGGGATGCTAGGACGCCCGCCTCCTCCGTTAATTTTAAATATCCCGAGGCGTCCCGAGGAAGCCAGCGGCCGGCCTGGGGCGCGGAACTGCGGGCCGCGGTGGCTGGCAGGCACGGGGTGGGAGGGGAGGGGAGGAGAGACCCGCTCCCCGCAAAGCGGCCGCCGCCCCCCGCCGCCTCCTTTGTCCCGATCTCGCCGCAGCGCAGCGGACAAAGAACCCCCGCCCGCGGGCGCAGCCCCCCGGAACAGACCCTCCTCCCGAAGCCGCGCCCCCGCCCAGGCTGCCCCTCCCCCGCCGCAGAGACGCCCCCCCAACCCCCTGGCCCGCGGCTGAGCCGCCCCGCGCGCGCCCCCAGCCCACCGGGGGCCGCCCCTTCCCCTCCCGCGAACCCCCGCCCGGCCCGAGCGCCCGGCCCGCCCGGCTCTGCTCACCATTGCGCCGCCCGCAGCCCGGCCCGATCGCACCGCAGCAGCCCCGCGGGCCCGGCTCCGCCCGCCAGCCAGCCCGGTCCGGCCGCGGCGCACCGTCGGGACGCAGGAGCCCCGCTCTGCGGCGGGCGGGGCATCTCCGGCTCCGCCCCGGCCGGAGGCGTGGCCCGCTCGAAGCGGCCAATGGAAGCCCGCGCTGGGACGGCGGGCCGGGGCGGGCCGGGGCGGGGTCACGTGCGCGCGGGGCCGGGGCGGCCCCGGCGGGGCAGGGGCTGCGCGCAGCCGGCAGCCCTGGGGGCGGGGGGCGGACTCGGCCTCGGCGCGCGCGGATTGGGTGCCGGTGGGTGCGGGGCGCCCGCGGCAGCCCTCCCTCGAACGCGGCGACGTTGCCCTTATTCCCGCCCACTCACAGAGAGGGCAACTGAGGCGCACCGCAGGTAAGAGTGTTGTCTGGGAACAGGGTGCCGCGGCACCCTGGGCCGGGGCTGGAGAGAGAGCGGGACATTGCAGTTGAATGTCCTAGTTTGGGGAGGGAGCAGGTCATTCAGTCGTTCGTTCATTCATTCATTCATCATTCGTGCATCGGTTCACTCCACCCTGCGGAACACCCGCCGGGTGCCGGGTTCACCGGTGGCCGAGAGAACAGCCACGAACAAAACCAACAAGGACCTTGCCCGCACGGAGCTCTCCTTCAGGTGCGGGCTGAGCTGCGGGGAATTTGCAGCCCTTTGGCCGCTTGTAATCATGGCTCTTTAACGTAATAAGCCCGTGATTAGGCCCCCACCACGTGCCACGCCCTGTACTCTTGGCTTAACACATTTTATCCACCCGACCCATTTTACAGATGAGGAACCCAAGGCTCCAGAGTGAAGTACCACGGTCTCCTCGTGATGGAGGCAGAATTCCAGGCCAGGCCTTGTCTGCCTGGACACACCGAGGTGCCTGTTAGTGTGCTAATCCCCACTTGTCCACCCAAGAAGGCAGTCCAGCGAGATGAGAGCCCCTTTGTGGCCAGCTGGGGCCTACAGGAGGGGTGAGAGTGGGTCCCTCAAGGCCTCTGTGGCCCAAGTCCTCCGGGCCCCCACAGCTTGGAAGGTAGGAGGGGTGCAGGTAGAGCCCCTCATCATGGGAGCTGGAGCCTTTGTCTGCTGTAAATGTCTTTCCAAGCCTCAAGCAAAGCCTCTGGGAGCAGATGGAGGGCCCAGCTCACGAGGCCTGGTGGTCAGGCCCTGCTTACTCTCCCCACTCCAGCATGGCTGGCCTCTTTCCTTCCTCACAGGCACCAAGCTGTTCCCTCCCCCACCCCCACACCCCCCACACCCCCACACCCCCACGCCCAGCCACCCGACCTTGGCCAGCGCTGTTTCTTTCTGCTGCAACATTCTTGCCCTTCATCTTCCAGATACGCACCCAAGAGCAGTCCCTTTCATTATTCTCCCTCCCCGTGCATTGTGAGGGTGTGTGATTAACTTCTGGTGTGTCTCTCCCGCCAGGCCTTGGTCTGTTCTGTGCATTGCCACATCTGCCGAACAGTACCTGACACACAGTAGATCCTGAATCCAGGGATGGTGAGTGAGTGAGTGAATGATCACACTGTAGACCTCCAGGCCTGGCCCAGCCTCCACCCTAGCCAGGGGGGGCCAGGCGCCAATGGTGAGCTGGAGGTTAAGCAGGAATGGGGGACAGAGAAACAGAGGGAAGCCTGGCTCCAGGTCAGCTATTCTTGAGGCGAGATCAAGCATCTCAGAACAGCTCTAGCTCCTGGCTCTGCCCAGCGCTGCCTTCAAAGGCTCCCCTCCAGCAGCCACACCTAGGAGCTCAGAGCAGAGGGAAGCAGGTTTTTCCCACGGAGCCAGTTCCAGAGCTCTCTGCAATCCCAGTGTTAAGTTGGCAGAGACCTCATTAGTGGTGAGGACGTGGGAGGGGCAGGCTCAGAACCCCAGAGCCAGGACTGGCAGATGACTGGAGAGGCAAGGACACTGTGGGGGGCGGGGGTGGGGGAGACTCTGGGGCAAAATGATGAGGGGAATGCCATGTGACATAGAAGTTGAGAGCCCGCTGGGGCTCAAATCCAGCCTTTCTTGCTGGGTAGCTTTGGAAAAGCAGCGTAACTTCTCTGTCCTTGAGTATCATCTGAAGATGGGGGCGGGAGTAAGGTCGCCATCAGGGGGTGGTTGGGAGTCCCTCAAGTGCCTGCTGCAGAGGACGCAATCCTACCCGTTCACTATTAACAGTAGTAACTGGGTCAGTCAGGTGTGGGGTGAACTTGGGCTTCCCCATGTGGAATTTGGGCAAGTCACTGCGTCTCTGGAACCACAAGTTTCTAGTCCCATGAAACCCACCTGTGGGATGCTGAGAGGTGGGGGGCTGGGAGTAGGCGACCTGGGACCAGCCTTTATCTTGCCCAGAGTGAGTTGTGTCAATAATAAGAGTGATAAGTTATGATAATAGCAGCAAACAGCAAGCACCCCATACGTATAAGCACATTTTAATCCTGTTTTACAGATGGGGAAACTGAGGCACAAATCCCCTGGAGGTCTTGTTGAAATGCAGGTTCTGGCTCAGTAGGTCTGGGCCTGAGGTTCTGCATTCCTCACAAGCTCCCAGGTGGTGCTGATGGTTTGTGAACCACACTTGGAGCAATGAGGGGCTAAGGCATTCACTAGAGGTCACCCAAAGTGGTGAGCTCTGAGCCTGGTTTCATCCCCATATGGTAGGCTGTAGAGTCCTACACTTAACCTCGGCTCTAACTGCCTGCCTGGCTCCAGCTATCTCCCCTACAGAGAAGCAGCAGGAAGTATAGCTCCCCTCCCCAAGCCCATTTCCTCTCTCAGGGCCCCTACCACCTCCCTCCGAGGTGACATCTGGCCCTTAGAACCTCCCAGCCCTGAGCATCCCAGGGGTCCTCCCTGTTGATGGCATGGAGCTTCTCAGATGTTCATTAGCCAGGAAGATAATTAAGGGCGAGGGATGAGTTCACCCTGGCTCCCTGGGGCTTGCCGGGGCCCAGCTGGGCCTGCCCCGTGCCAGTCTGGCCCTGTGCCTGCTTCCCTGGGGTGCTGGAGGGGCTGGAACAAGGGAGGGGCTCGCTGGGAAGTAGAGCTAGGGAGACTCCTCCAGCTGGGCCTCCCTGCCTAGCTACAGCTCTCAGGCCGGGCGGGCCTCTGCTCATGAGGCTTCCCCGTAAGGGTTCTGGGCCTAAAAACAAAATGAAAACTGCTTGGTCAGGGGGCAGTTTCCCAAAGGGTGAGGGGCAACCCACTGGCGAGTCCTGCAGGCTGAGGTTAGGGTGGGTCACAGAGAAGGCGGCCCCTAGCTCTGAATCACACAGCAATTCTCCTTCAAGGGGAGAAAGCTTCACTTACTGTTAGGCAGCATTAACATCCCTCCCGCGCTGGCTCAGCGCTGGCTCAGCCACTGCCGGCCGGGAGAGAGCGGGCCTTGCGCTTTTGAGCTAGAATTGCACAGCCTCTTGTTTTCTGCCTGTTTATGTTTACAGTCTCCTATTTGTGGCACAGGTATTGCTTTTCCATTTATGGTCGTGACATAGCCATTCCTTTTTATTTTATTTTATTTTTTTTAAGATTTTATTTACTTATTTGACAGAGAGAGAGAGCAGGAACACAAGCAGGAGGAGTGGGAGAGGGAGAAGCAGGCTCCCTGCGGAGCAGGGAGCCCGATGCGGGGCTCCATCCCAGGATGCTGGGATCAAGACCTGAGCCGAAGGCAGACGCTTAACGACTGAGCCACCCAGGCGCCCAGCCATTCCTTTTTAAATCCATCTATTTAGGAGGGAAAAAGTGAGTCACCTTGAAGCGGCATATAATGGGAGTGACTAGAGGGGGTATGGGGACATGGAAGCACTGGGGACGGTGGCAGACGGTTGGATGATGTGGGGAACCTCTTGGAACTGAACCACTCACAGCTCAGGCACCCCACCATCCCCTGACTGCAGGGCCCAGCAGAGCCCTGGCTGGGAGACCGAGATATCCCCCAAGCTCCTGTATCCACAAGAAAACTCTATCTGGGTGGTCATGGGTTGTGTAGGGCCTGGGTCAGATCTGGTCCTCATTCCTGGGGTCTGTGGTGTCATTGTGGGGATCAGCATGCCTCACCTCAGGTGCTCTCCACACCCCTACACCACCCCTGGGCTGCCCTGTGTTTCCATCTGTGGTATTCACCCCGCCCCCCCCCCCACACTTGACCACTGGAGCCCGTTAATCACCCATTCACTAAATCATTCATCTATCCAATCTTTATTGGGCACCTACTATGTGCCGAGCCCTGTGCTGGGTGCTGGGTAGATAGCCATGAGCTGGACAGGCAGAACTCAGGTCATGAACTTCAGGTACACAGAATTATGGGCACATCATAATCCGGATCATGGTGTATTCTCTTTGGTCCTTGCATGATCTGCTCTTATTAAAAATGTCCATGATTAAAATAACTCTAGTCATGTAATACACACCCCATAGCCCATTGATCAAAAGCTAGGACCCTAACAATGGCCAACATCTAATCCCGAGGGACCCCCATCCCATCCCTGCCTTGAATCCTGTCTTCATCACTCCCTGCCTTCCTGTTTGGGCAGTTTTATCATACCCACATCCTACAGGTATTCGGGCACACCTTGGAGATATGGTTGGTTTTGGTCCAGACCAACGCAGTAAAGCAAATATCACAATAAAGCAAGTTGGATGAATTTTTTTTGTTTCCCAGTGCATGTCCGAGTTATGTCCACACTATACTGAAGTCTATTAGGTGTGCAATAACATTATGTCTATAAAACAATGCACATGCCTTAATTAAAAAAATATTTCTAAAAAACGCTAGCCGGCTTCTGAACTTTCAGAGAGCTGTAATCCTTTTGCCGGTGGAGGGTCTTGCCTCCATGTTGATGGCGCTGACCGATCAGGGTGGTGGCTGCCGAAGGTGGGGGTGGCTGTGGTAGGTTCTTAAAAATAAAACAATGAAGTCTGCCGCTTGGATGGCTTCTTCTTTTCCTGAACGATTTCTCGGTAGCATGGGATGCTCCTTGATCGCATCTCACCCACAGCAGAACTTCCTTCCAAACTGGGGTCAACCCTCCAAACCCCGTCGCTGCTTTATCCACTAAGTTCATGTCATATTCTCAGTCCTTTGTTGTCATTTCAACATCTGCATGGCATCTTCAGAAACCACTTTCTTTGCTCGTCCGTGAGAAGCAACTCCTCATCCCTTCAAGTTGTATCAGGAGATTGCAGCAATTCAAATAGAATAATAATGAAAAAGTTTGAAATACTGCGAGAATTACCAAAATGTGACACAGAGATGCCACCTGAGCAGAGGAGTATATTCGTTTCCTGGGGCTGCTGGGATAAATGGCCACCAACTGGGTGGCTTTAACACAAGAGAAGTGTCTTCTCTTCCAGTCCTGGAGGCCAGAGGTCCGCATTCAAGGTGTCGGCGGAGCTGTGTTCCCCCCGAAGGCTCCAGGGAAGGATCTGTTCCCTGCCTGTCCCGGCTGCTGGTGGCTGGCAGCCATCCTTGGCAACCCTTGGCTTGTGGATGCGTCACTCCAGTCTCTGCCACCCTGCTGTCACGTGAGTTCTCCTCACGCCCCGCCCCCCAACATTATTGCGGAATCATTGACAAATATAATTGTATATATTTAAGGGGTACAATGTGATGATTTGATACACATTACGGAATGATTATGTGGTAAGAATGCCTAAGATCTCCCCTCAAAGATTTCCATGCATACAGTACTGAGTTGGAAACTGTCCTCATCATGCTGTGCATTAGATCCCCAGGACTTCTTCATCTTTTAACTGGAAGATTGTACTCTTTGACCTCCATCTCCCCATCTGCCCTTCCCCCCAGCTTCTGGCAACCACCATTCTATTCTCTGTTTCTATGCAACTCGCTCTTTTGTTTTAATTCCACATAGAAGTGATACCATACAGTATTTGGTTTTTTCTGTCTGGTCTATTCCACTTAGCATAATGCACTCCAACTTCATCCATGTTGCACATGGCAGGATTTCCTTCTTTTGTATGGCTGAACAATATTCCAGCGTGTGTGTGTGTGTGTACCACATTTTCTTTATCCATTCATCCATTGAAGGACATTGAAGTTGTCTCCGTGTCTTGGCTATTATAAATAACGCTGCAATGACATGGGGACACAGATATCACTTCAAGATAGTGATTTCGGGGCGTCTGGGTGGCTCAGTCGGTTAAGTGTCTGCCTTCGGCTCTGGTCATGATCCCAGGATTCTGGGATTGAGCCCTGCGTTGGGCTCCCTGCTCCGGGGGAAGCCTGCTTCTCCCTCTTCACTCCCCCTGCTTGTGTTCCTGCTCTCACTGTGTTTCTCTCTGTCAAATAAATAAAATCTTAAAAAAAAAAAAAAAAAGATAGTGATTTCATTTCCTTCAGATCAATACCCAGAAGTGGGATTGCTGGATCCTACGGGACTTCTATTTTTTATTTTTTGAGGAACCTCCATACTGTTTTCCGTACTGGCTGTACCAATTTACATTCCCACCAGCGGTGCACCAAAGTGTCTTTTCTGCACATCTTCCCTGACCCTTGTTATCTCTTGTCTTTGAAGACAGCCATCCTAACAGATGTGATGTGGTATCACACTGTGGTTTTGATTTGCATTTCCCTGATGATGAGTGATGTTGGGCACCTTTTCATCTACCTGTTGGCCATTCGTATTATCTTCTTTGGAAAAATGTCTGTTCAGGTCCTTAGCCTGTTTTTTAATTGGATTGTTTGCTTTTTTGCTATTGGGTTGTATGAGTCCTTTATATATTTGGGATCCCATTCTGTAGATTGCTTTTCCACTTGATTGTTTCCTTTGCTCTGTATAAGCTCTTTAGTTTGATATAGTCCCCCTTGTTATTTTAGCTTTTGTTGCCTGTGCTTTTGGTATCTCATATAAGAAATCATTGCCAAGTCTAATGTCAAGGAGATTTGCTCCTATGTTTTCTTCTAGAAGTTTTATGGTTTTATTTATTTATTTTATTTTATTTTATTTTTAAAAAGATTTTATTTATTCATTTGAGAGAGAATGAGATAGAGAGAGCATGAGAGGGGGGAGGGTCAGAGGGAGAAGCAGGCTCCCTGCTGAGCAGGGAGCCCGATGCGGGACTTGATCCAGGGACTCCAGGATCATGACCTGAGCCGAAGGCAGTCACTTAACCAACTGAGCCACCCAGGCGCCCTATTTATTTATTTTAAAAGGATTTTATTTATTTATTTGAGAGAGGGTGAATGAAAGACAGAGAGCACAAGAGGGAAGAGGGTCAGAGGGAGAAGCAGACTCTCCGTTGAGCAGGGAGCCCGATGCGGGACTCGATCCCGGGACTCCAGGATCATGACCTGAGCTGAAGGCAGTCGCTTCACCAACTGAGCCACCCAGGCGCTCTATAAGTTTTATGGTTTTAGATCTTATATTTAAGTCTTTGATCCATTTTGAGTTGATTTTTGGGAGTGGTGTAAGACAGGGGTCTGGTTTCATTCTTTTGCATCAGATACCCAGTTTACCGAATACCATTTATTTATTTAAGATTTATTTATTTATTTTAGAGAGAGAGAGAGAGAGAGGGACAGCACAGGGAGCCAGCAGAGCCCACTGATGCGGGGCTCACTATGAGGGACTTGATCCCAGGACCCTGAGATCATAACCCGAGCTGACATCAAGCGTCAAACACTCAACCGACTGAGACACCCAGTCGCCCCCCAGTACCATTTATTGAAGACACTTCTTTTTCACCACCGGCTGTTCTTGTCACCCTTATCAAAAAAACTAGTCGACCATATATGGGCTAGTCCCATTCTAACTCAATAAGACTTCATCTAAACTTAATTAATCACATCCGCAAAGACTCTTTTTCCAAATAAGGTCAGATTTATAGGTTCCAAGAATTAGGACTTTAATATATTTGGCGGGGGTGGGGAAACAAGTCCATCCATAACAAGGGCATCCAGACAACCAAAAAAGTGTATCAAGGTGTTTGAATCTTCTGGGGCTTAATTTCTTCATGTAATAGTACGTAACTAAGATTGACCCATACTCGTTCACTTGTTTTAACTGTCCTGTCATATTCCACCGGGTCAGCGTACAGCTGCTCTCTTGTGGATGGCCTTTTGGGTGGTGTCCAGGCATCTGGAAGTGCTGTTTGGATGTTCTTGTGAATGGCTCTTGGTACACACATGCAGGATTTCCTCTGGGGTGTTTACCTAGAAATGGAATCACCAGGACTCAGAATATGTGAGTGTTTAGGAGGCAGTAGGAAACAGCTTTCTAAAGTGGTTGTACTGGGGTGCCTGGGTGGCTCAGTCCTTAAGCGTCTGCCTTCAGGTCGGGTCATGATCCCAGGGTCCTGGGATCAAGCCCCACATCGGGCTCCCTGCTCCGCGGGAAGCCTGCTTCTCCCTCTCCCACTCCTCCTGCTTCTGTTCTCTTTCTCGCTTTGTCATTCTCTGTCAAATAAATAAATAAAATCTTTAAAAAATTAAAGTGGCTGCACTATTTACACTCCCACCAGCAACGCATACGATCTGTGTCCTCTCTGACACTTGGCATTATTAGATTTGAAAATGTTTGCCAATTGAGTATAAAGCTGTTTCCAGTTGAGACCTTCATTTGCATTTCCTTGATCACTAATGATGCTGAACATCTTTCTCAACCTAAGGTCTAAAGTAGATTCACCTATACTTTCTATTAAGGTTCTGAACCTTTGTTTTAGACATTTGAGTTCATAATCTATAATCAACATCAAGTTCCAAAGGATATTTACCTATAATTTCTACAAAAGATTTTTAAGTGGTTTTTGTTTGTTTTTGACATTTAAGCCTTTAATCCAGAGTTGATTTTTGTATATATGGTATGAGGTAGGGATTGGTCGTATAACCTTAGGGGCTTTTGTAGGGTGACAGGTGTATTTGGGGGACAGTGGGACAGGACATTAGACTGGCACTCTTGACTATACTAGAAATTGCTCACTGGGTTTTGAGTTCAAATTCTGCTGCTCTTATGGATTGCCTGTGAGATCCTATGCTTCAGGTCTGTGAGCCTCCCATTTCCTCATCTGTAGAATAGGAATTCCAGTGGATACTGCCCTTGGCTGGTTTGGAGATTCCATGAGTTAAAGTATGCAGAATGCTCCCCACATTGCTTGGTACAAAGCATAAGAACACCGACTAGCATTTATTGAGCACCTGCTATGTGTCAGGTAACTTGGCAAGCACTTTATATGTGTTATTAACTCATGGAACCCCTGGCAACTCCATGAAATAGATGTTTCCCCCTACCCTTTACAGATGAGGAAATGGAGTCTCAATAGGAGTGAGTAAATCCTCCAAGGGCACACACCTAGCATGTGGCAGAGGACTTGAACCCTGGCATCACCACCACACATCAAAGCCATCTCCTTCCCTTCCTCCAGCCTCCAGGATCCAGTCCCTGGGGAGTGGAATGGCTGTCTCTCCAGGAGGAAGTGTCTAAAGGTTGAAATGGAGGAGGGGTGGGCAGTGCAGTTGACCCTCCCCTCCCCGGCCCTCGATTCCCCTGGGGTCCCTGCCTTTGACTCTGAAGCTGGCGAGAGGCTGGCAGCAAAGTCCATCCATCCTCTTCCTCTAGGGCCGTCGGAAGCCACATAGATGATTCACTGGCCGTAATGTTCTCCCCGTGTCATCCATTATCCAAAGCTGCCATCCTGGGCCTGGGTTGCTTTGGGGTCAGGCAGGAATTACTACTCCCAAGGCCCAGCTCTCAGGGGCTTTTCTCCACAGCTGAGCCCGAGCGCACACAGCCCTCTTCTCTAGATCCGAGGGCTGGGGGCTTCCCGCCAAGAGGGGACGCAGACTCCAGCACGTGCTCCAGGCCCGGGGTCTGCCAGCAGACAAAGGGCCCTGAGCTGCCCTTGAGCCCAGCTTTGTCACCTCCCAGTGACCTCTTCTGTGCCTATATTTCCTTATTTGTAAGATGGGAGTAACTAGCTCTTCCTTGCTGAAAGATGTAGAAATAATCTGCACAGGAGGCATGAGTAGACCGCAGCTGAGCTCGTTCACTAGAGTTAACTATTATTATAGTCACGCCTCCGGGGGTTGTGTCCCAGCCCGGCTGAGGGTATAAGGCTGGCATGTCTCCTACAGGAGACAGACCCCCAGTGCACTGCCTGCAAAAAGGGCTTCTAATCAGCCAATACGTCCCCCCATAGAAGCTTGTTCGGGGTGATGAGTCGTGGAATAACTGTTTATTGAACACCTACTATGTGCCCTGCAGGCTTCCGTGGTGACCGACAATCATGTCCCTGTATCCACGGCACTTACAGTCCAGCGCCCCAGGAAACGCGGGGTCCTGCTAGGAGGGGTCAGCCCTCAGCCAGGCTGGGGCACGGGCTGGGGGCAGAGGGCTCCCAGGTCTGCCCCTGGGTGGAGTAGGGGCTCATGCACACCCCTCCCTGAGACCGTACAAAGCTCACATCCCCCGCACCTGCCTGTTGGAAGGCCCTGCCTGAGGAGCAGGGGTAAGCGTGGAGCTGCTGGAATCATGCAGACCCATTTTTGTCTTATGGCATGTATTAGTTTATTGCTACATAACAAACCACCCCAACCCTCAGCAGATGACGTTTTTCCTCGCAGCTTCTGTGGGTCCAGAGTT